TTTCGAACGCCGCCTTTCCCGTATCGCTACGTCATACGTGGCTCAGGAGCCGAGTTAGAAGGGGGTGTTCAAACACCCACCCACCCCCCACCCCCCAGCAGGGCGTGGAAATCCAGGACCCCCAGCTGGGCGCAATTTGAGGCTGACTTCCGTTACGAGAATAGTTATGCACGTCTGTTAGGTTAAATACCTCGTAATGTCATTCGGTAATGTTAGATAAATACGGTTTTGACGGGGATTTTTTTTTACGAATTCCCCTAAAGCTGGAATTACTTTCAACATATAGTGGGCAACAATATATTTTTACAGTAGGTACCGATCAACAAATAACGAATAATAATGGTGACATCTTTTCGTGCTAGCCTGTCCCGTTATTCCAGTCCCGTTACTCCTGCACTTAACTTATTCCAGTAGTAAGCCGTTTCGTTTGTGGTCTCTCCATGGTTCTATCCTCGGAGTTACACTTGTATACCTATTCCCTATCTCTGTCTATAGCGGAGAATGCTGAGCGGACCCGGCGCAACAGGGACGACCCGTACGGACCTCCGAGTTACCAGCCCGAGCCCTGCAAGCCGGAGCCCTACAAGCCGGACCCGTACAAGCCCTCCTACCACAAGGGCGACCCCGTCTACGTCAAGACCTTCGTCAAGACCGACTACGACGGCAACTTCAAGTGGGGAGTGAACCATAGCGCTCTGGAGTGATACGATTTAAGATGATTGTTGAACAATGAGCCACGCTGCAATGAGGATGTGATGAGGTGCTGTTATACGAGCCCTTGCCGCCGGTTTTAGGAAGATGCCGCTGCACGTAGGCACTGTAGCGCTACCTATGTCATGCTGCCATTGATCCAACACGCGACATCATTAGCCCGCGCCCTGGTGGGGTCTGTTTATAACGCGACCTGGTGGGGGGGGCTATTTTTTGCCCCCCCCCCCCCAGTGGCGGCGGAAGGTATTTTGGGATGGGGGGGCACACCTGATCCTTCCCGGAACCTAGGGTACCCCCAAATCTAGTTTTCTCACCGGTTTTAGGCCACTTATTTTTCACCTCTTGGCCTTTACAACAAAAATAAAAAATAAAACATTTGCAAATAAGTGAGATAATTAGTCTCATCTGAGTCAAGAAACTACCTTTTTGGTAACCTGGAATAAACGTTTAAAGCTTCCACACATGAGCTGTCAAGTCAGGTACGGGGACCCGCAGTTGCTACTGTACAGCGACCCTGAGTAAATTGTCCCAGCACCCTCACAGGGAACAACGATAAGCTGTCAGAAGGCACGCACAGAAAACCTCAGCTGCTCTTGTGCAGGGACCGGCAGTCGATATCAATGTTATCGGTTGTTACTGGACAGGACAGACGGCTAGAGTTGGGGTTCGTGTACAATAGCAACTGCGGGTCCCCGTACAGAGGGGAATTTTTTTACTTAAATAGGTATTGTCTTCCATTCAGCTTTTCTTTGAGGCCCTCGGCCGCTAATATGGGGAGGACAAGCTGCCCCGACGGTTCCTGGCCCTTTGAAACTTTGCGGGAGCAGAGACCCCCACGGCCCCAGAGTTGTGGGGGCAGGCTGCCCCCATGCTGCCCCCCGGCTCACGCGCCTATGCCGGCTGGCGTCTGGCAGAGTCGCGGGGAAAGGCCTGTGGCACGCTCAGACGCACTTTCGTGACGTCCGTGCCGCCTGCCGGGCCACTCGCGTTCCGTCCTACTCTTCCAGACTTCGGTTACCGGTAGCTCGTAGATAGCTCTGCTTGATTTCTGAGCATTATGTGTGGAGGGCGTTTGGTGGAAATAGTCCGTCACGGACTAGCTCGCCGGATAGCCCGTCGTGAAAACGGCTATTATCAATCCAAGTTACTTGCTATATCAACTTAATAAAAAGGTACTCAGCCAAACTGGCATATGTTCCTGACGTAGGTAGTATGGAAGTATTGTGGTACTTCGTCGATAACAATTTTGGGGGGGCAAAAAGATATGTTTGCCCCCCCACCCTGGAAGATGGGGGGGCGCCGTGCCCCCGCTGCCCCCCCGCTTCCGCCGCCACTGCCCCCCCCCCCCCCCCTTGTATCTCCGAAACTACTGGACGGATCCGCAAAATTCAAACGGCGTTCGAAAGGCCTGTCAAATTTGTCGAAGGAAACCAAATTTCATTGACCTCGGGGTCACCGATGACGTCACAGGTCAGGTCAAAGATGAAATGTTTCACCGTTCACGGGTCTTCTAGGGAATGCGCTATAACACCGAGGAAAACGCATTTTGTCGAGAATCAGCGGTAGGGCGTCAGTTGCCTAGTAGATATGTTGCTATTAGAGGTCACTGGCAATACCAGGTCAGGTCACAGGTCAGGTCACCAAGGGTCACAGGTCAGGTCACATGAGCCCAACTTTACTAAGGTTGTGTGATGCATGTTTTATGGCCAATTTTTCATTTCCAACTCAATGGTGTTGGTTATAAGACTATCAGGTACGGCTTAGGTCACTTTCTGGTGAAGTTCAGGTCAAGGTCAGGTCAAGGTCAGGCCAAAAAAGGTCAAATTTTAAAGTTGATAGTTTTGCATAAAATGAGTATTGATTCGATGCAGCTCGTCACGGGGAGTCTAATGGTGGTCTTTGTTTTGCGCTACGGGGTCTAGAATTGCTAAAAATTGAGTTTGAAAATTTGACGTCATCAATTTTGAACAGTTTTTTCGCTATAACTTCGCCAAAAAAGGAGGTATCAATCTCAAATTTGGTATGTGGATGTAAGACGGTAAGGACTATCACATATATTCCGGTTTTTGTGAAATTCAAAAAACTTTTGGGATTTTTTGATTATTATTTCCAAAAAATCTATTTTTTGATTTTTGGGGATCGAAATCCAAAAATTTCAAAAATCCGAGATAGCAGTTTTGTAGCCCTGTCCAATCTACAGCTTTTATGTCTTTATCATTTTTCTGTATTTGCAAAGCTATAGGCCTGACAGCTCTTCCCGCGAAACCCTTTTTTGGGTCGAAAACGGCAGAACATGACGTCACTCTGACGTCATTTCCGGCCAACCTATCATAGCCTTTGGAAAAAATTTTGGGCACAATGTGTAAAATTGATGTCCAGGAGGGTACTGAAAGTTTGGTGACGATTGGCGCAGCGGTTCTGGAGATATATCGAAAAGTCTGGAGGGGGGGGGCAAAAAATAGCCCCCCCCCACCAGGTCGCGGGTTAGCGAGGAAGTGTGTGATCGCCGCCGCTCGTCAACGATGTTGTGAATGTATGCAGGCATGTACAATTCATACCCATTGTACAGCACGTTGTTACCTTGTTACGGTAAATTATAGTTGAAATCAAATCATGATCAGTGGTTTGTAATACATGTGATTTCCATTCATCGTTTTTTTTTGTGTCCGCCCGCATACCATCTGTCAATAACCTTGACCTGACCTTTGCGTGACCTCAGCAGTCAGCATCCACTATAAACCATGGGACACTCAGCATGTCACATGTTGACACGTTTCTAATCACATAAAGTCGGGAAACGTACAGGCACATGCTCCGAATCGGTATATAACGGCCTGACATGGTCTCGAAAGACGTCTGGTAGGTCAAAGGTCACTTGGGTCAATAGGTCATGAAATTAAGAGTATCTATCTAGGCATTATATTGATTATCACGAGAGTAGGTACTAAAACTTTCGTCGCTATCCATCGCTTTTTACGTGATCGCGTAAAAATGACTAGAGTTATTCGTGAAAAGCCAAGGAATTCATCTGACCTCCCGCTCCTTATCAGTGCGACGGTTGATGCCCGTTTGTTGCCTTCAAGCCGTTATCTCCCACCCACACGCTGACATTTGAAGGTCCAAGGCCGGTCTGTGAGGACCCCAAAGACCCGAGGGCTCAAAGTTGACCTGTGGGGACCGTTTGAGTCACGCAGAGGCTTTAATGATCACGTCAGTCACTGGGGGACTGAGGACCATCCTCCTCTTTAGGACCATCCCGGCCTATGAGGTCCACCACTGACATCCAAGAACCCTACGTCGTCCTCCGAGGGCTACAAACTTGAGACGGCCCCACTCAGAGTGTTAATTTGAGAAATCTGACAAATTTGGGAAAACCTCACATCGGTACCAACTACTTAGGCAACGGTAGGTACTGATAGGTAGGTATACCTACCTACCTTTCCCTATGGACGACAAATTAGTTAGGCAAGTCCCTTGGTTTACTATATCCTGCAGATTTCGTCGATTCAGGCACATATATGCGGATCCAGAAAAGCGGTCTAGGACGTTGGGGGGTGGGCGGGGCACCCCAAAACAGTTTCTCCGAATTGGCCAGTGTTGGATCCGCCAGTGTTCAGGCAGTCAGTAAGTTTTATGATCGAAGTAGGAAACCTTTGATCTTCAGAGATTCAAATTAGGGGGAGACATTGGTCTGGGCAGACACCCTAGACTGAGAGTCGCCGGGGCTGAGCCCGTCCGAATGGACAAGCCGACCAGCCCCCCTCCCCCCCCCCCCAAGCACTCTCTGCACCCGGCTACGGGGTGAGCTCCCTCGGGAGCAGCGTGCCGCTCCAAGGGAGCAGCCCGCATGAGATCCGGTGCCTGTCCATGTCCCGACGTGGGGGTCGCCGCGTGGAGGAGAAGGATTTCAGCATTCTGAGGATGGAATTTGGAAACGATGGAACGGAGGGATGGAGGATCCGGAATCCGGATCACCACCGTCAGCCTGTTATGGAATTGTGGTTGTGATTTCCGAAGTCTGCGACATCTATAATCGAAACCCTAGCGCCACCTGTCACACGACTTCGCCAGCTATGAGAATTTGTGAGAAGAAAATCAATCAGTTGATGCATTTTTTATTTTAAAACTCATTTTATTTTTCTTCCTTTGTTTTTGAATATCAAAAGCACATCCTAAAACGAAAAAATATGGGGAGCATGGTCGAAATAAATACTGTAATATTTTGTGACGTCCTGTTTTCAATACGATTCGTCTGCCTATCTTGAATTCTTATGCCCTCTTTTGTTTAGGCTATTTTTACGTGTGTGTGCGAGTGCACGCCCCGTCGGCTGTGAGGGTTTGGGTGAGTTGGTGAGATTTATATTACCTCAAAATAAGTGTTATTTAAATTCGTATTAAATGAATAATGGCAAGCGTAGGATGTACGTTTCATCCAAGAGTGAAAAAAACTGAAACGCACCAGTACAAGTACTGAAACGAGTCAGATGCATTTTCTTTTCATGGATTTGAAGGAGGTGCCTTACCGCCTACTGGGTGATAGAGATTTGATATTGTAATATTGGTGTGAAGATTTGCGCTTTGGCAGATTTGGATATTTTCTTATTTCAGTTTGACGTGCACCATTCTATTTTGATTTCAGGTGTACCACCTGCCCAACAGCCTCACTGCCTCAAGCATCATGGGCTCCACTCAGCAATTCTCATTAAAGTGGAACAAGTATCAGCGGAATTGGGACAATTATTTGTCAAAGTTGTTGAATAATCACATGTTCAGTGATGTAATGGTGGCCTGTGATGGACAAGTATTTCAACTGCACAGGATAGTCCTTGCATCATGCAGCTCCTACTTTGAGAAGACACTACAGGTAAGTGCCTAATTAAAATTACTGCTTCTATGGAATGCTAGACAGATCTGTGCTCTTCTCATTGATTGGTTCAGTACATAGTGAGACCTCCAATCAACTTGTGTGGCCAGGTGCTGGTGGCCCATGCAATTCAATTCTAAAGTTAATTCTGGCCAATCTGATAAAGGTGTTTCAGCTTTTAGCACATTTGGCCCAGCCATTCCTTAGATATAGAATTGGCACCCTGCATACCTATGCATGTGTGCAAAATGAGACCCCAACTGGCTTGTGTGGGATGCCCTACTAAGCTAACCCTAAGGGCTATCTGATCTGAGCCTGATTGGCTCAGCCATTCTCGAGCTGTGGAAGCAGCCCCTGCAGCACTTATGTGCCTGGAGTAACACTCAAACCATGATGCGCAAGAGTGCATCATCTGGTCAATGTACACCTATTCACTAATTCACCTATTCACTAAGCCAATGTTCAGTATAATATATCCAGTCAATGCTGAGTTATTGTGAGGGGAATGATTTTGTCACCCCTGATTTTACAAGTGTTGTTATGCCTTATATCACTAACATCCTTATAAGACAGCATGCTCAGTAAGGATAGAATCGTGCATTATCAAAGAAATTCATACTGATATCCTTTAACACCTCCCACCCATTTTCCAGAACATCCCGGCCAAGGAGACGCCGATAGTGATGCTGAGTGAGATCACGGAGCTGGAGATGCGCACCCTCATCGAGTTCATGTACTGCGGGGAGGCCACCATCGACCAGAGCCAGCTGGAGGCCCTGCTGAAGGTGAGCGCTGTTCGTTTGTGACTGGAGTGTGGGTGTCAGTATAGGTTACTGGTAGCTCTGGTGCACTACGTGTTTGTTCTGGGTTCAGCAGTCATTCCCATATTCATCTGAAGATTGCAGGATGGATTTGTGTTTGGTTTGATCCTGACCGTGCATTGAACCAATGTCTGGGCCGGGAACCAAATGATAAGGGTGAGGCATTGGGCTGATTCGATTGCCGTCTGGTGTGCTGCCACTGTCCTGTGAGTCCATCTGCCTGAGTCTGATCTGCGAGAGAGGTTGAGCTCCTGCTCATCGTATATTCTCCCAAGTTGATGTGTATTTATGCTAGGTAGGTATATCGTGTGCAGCTTCCCAGTCGTTATCTCACTCCAACTGGACTCGGTTACACGAGGTTCCCAGCCTTTGGCACTCATTTTCACGTGTTTTAAACCATTGGACAAGTGACCGGGTTTTAGACCATCGAACCCCGCTCACTTGCTCCGATCCCGTCCCATGCCTGCACATCGCCGTCCATTCCCGTTCGATTATTTCCAGTCATGGTCGGTCACCTATGCTGGTCACCGTGCACTTAGTGCCAGCACAGGCAGAATATAGTCGATACTAAGCATGACGGTGTGTCTTTTCGGTCTGCCTCGCTAACAGTCCAATCGTGAAATGTAAAATACGGGGTTCAGCGGCCGCACTATGAGCTTACTGAAGCACTGTTTCTGAACACCCACTGCGCAGCAGCCGACGTGTGTTTCGACGTAGGTAACTAGTTATATCGATATTTGATCGCTACTTTTTGTTCGGAGTTAAAGGGACCCTCCCACCTTAACACCAGTATAACGCCTTATGGGGCGACTAACGGAGCGAGCGAGAGGGTGGGCCTTGCACGTGCGAAATTGCGAGGGGGTACCTCCAACTGACTTGTGCACGGCACCCTACTAACCGGTCTCTAGCGATGTGCCAAATTTGGGCACAATCGGCCCAGCCGTTCTCGAGATCTGGAAGCGGCACCCTGCACGTGCGCACGTGCAAAATGGGTCCCAACTGACTTGTGCACGGCACCCTACTAACCGGTCCCAAACTGTGTACCAAATTTGAGCGCAATCGGTCGAGCCGTTCTCGAGATCTGGAAACGACCCCTGCACGTGCGCACGTGCAGCAGCACCCCAACTCTGGCACATGGATATGCAGTGCCTAGTGGGTGCCTACCTACATGCCAACTTTGAGCGCAATCGGCCAAGTAGTTACCGAGATATTGCAACAATTGCAAAACTGACACCTCTTCGTTTTGCACGTGGCACGTGCATAAGGGGTCACCCACATGCATCGGGAATAGTCCAATACTTGGTAGAAGGAATGAAGCTACCCTACAAAAATTACCGCATGTAAATCGGTCAAGTGGTTGCTGAGATATAAGCCTCGCAAAAGCGTCCGCACGGCCGGCCGGCCGGCCGGCCGGCCGCTCATACTCAGAAATTTCCGTTAATCTAAGGAAAGACTCCGCTCGCTTCGCTCGCTCCGTAATTAGATTTGAGTTGAGATAGCCAAAATGGGGTCCCTGGCTCACAATTACCGGTTTCGGCACTCACAACATCGAGAAATGCCTTAAATCGGAAATATTGAATTTCAAAATTGCAGCATTTTGATTCAGAGGGGCTAATGCATAGGAATACCCCTCTGAATGTGTGACGTCAGCGCAGATATCTAACGATTTTTAAATGTTTGACTAAAACGTTTTGTAGCATGCGGTGGTATATGCTGCTTTGCGCGCAACAAATGCCGCACTTTCAAATAAAGTCGCTAGGAGCAGCGGAGATCCCAAAAAGTAAACAAAAGTAAAAGTCTAATATCTAGAAAACCGGTGAATATTTTCCGATGAAATTTGGTAGATATTCGTTTTCACTCTTTCTGAACCGAGCGACATCACTTTCATGCCAATTCATTTACTTTTTTGAAGGTGGGAGGGTCCCTTTAAGTTCGATCGGCTACATCGATGTTTGATCGGCTTTTATCGATATTTCATCAGCTACTGAGAACGAATAAGGCAACATGTGGTTGTCTGGTGATATGCTGGTAAGGATAAATGATAACAATAACACGTCAAATGTATATTTAAACACACAAAGCTTTCGGTATGAAAATACCTTGATCACTGTGTTAACAGAAATGAGGACAGAAATTGTCACCGGCAGCTTGTACAAAAATATAAAATAACACTCGAAAAATAGATCACAAATCACAATCACGAGATTATCTATCGGGGTCCTGCCACTAAGCTTACAGCGCATGTTGCTAAAGTTATAAATCCAGTCCTAGTAGGTATTGATGGTATCGCGTGCTGATATGTGAGCCGCTTCTAAGATTTTTCGTGTCGTTTTTCGTGCGCCTTTCTCTAATAATCGAGTTGCTCCCCAGTTCGGTAAATGATGAGATTGTTCGGCATGTACGACGATTGCGTTCGATGTTCGATGAAACTTAAGGTCACTTTTATGTTCTTTAAGTCTCGTTTCGACCCCCCTCCCCGTTTCTCCCACGTAGCTTTTGTTACACCCACCACAAGGAATTTCGTATACTACACTTTTCGGAGAATCGGATGTGTCGATTACCAATAAAGAAGATTATGTTCATTTTTACTCTGGCCACAGTGAACGTGTGAAAAGTGGTATAGTTATAGGTTTCTTTTTACGAGCAATGAGAATTTGTGATGAGGAGTTCCTGGACGAAGAGATTAAACATATTTACAACGCTTTCACGAAACTGAAATACCCGAAGGGATATCTCATTCGGCAAAAGCAAAAGGCCGAACGAATAAAGAAGAACCCAAAACAAAAGGAAAAAGAACAAGGAAGGAAAAAGCGAAAATGGATATCGATTCCAAACTTCAAGAGCGCGGAGGTTATTTCTAAATCACTTGAGAAGACAGGCGTACGAGTAGCAACGAACACGGGAACGAAGATACACGAGATGATTAAACGAAGACCGAAAGAGACGTCCGACACATCCGATTCTCCGAAAAGTGTAGTATACGAAATTCCTTGTGGTGGGTGTAACAAAAGCTACGTGGGAGAAACGGGGAGGGGGGTCGAAACGAGACTTAAAGAACATAAAAGTGACCTTAAGTTTCATCGAACATCGAACGCAATCGTCGTACATGCCGAACAATCTCATCATTTACCGAACTGGGGAGCAACTCGATTATTAGAGAAAGGCGCACGAAAAACGACACGAAAAATCTTAGAAGCGGCTCACATATCAGCACGCGATACCATCAATACTAGGACTGGATTTATAACTTTAGCAACATGCGCTGTAAGCTTAGTGGCAGGACCCCGATAGATAATCTCGTGATTGTGATTTGTGATCTATTTTTCGAGTGTTATTTTATATTTTTGTACAAGCTGCCGGTGACAATTTCTGTCCTCATTTCTGTTAACACAGTGATCAAGGTATTTTCATACCGAAAGCTTTGTGTGTTTAAATATACATTTGACGTGTTATTGTTATCATTTATCCTAACTGTCTTGGATATTCTACATATGCTGGTAAATTGTGACATTGCACCTCTATTTTTTACTATCTTACAATTGTTTGAAGGGATAAATATCCGAAGGACTGTCGGCACGTACCCCAAAATTTTAGGCACAGTGACTCGCTACGGTGTTGCGTTAGGCGGCACGGGCGGACATCGATAGCAGCGCCTCTATCGGTCACTAGGGAAAGCTGGGCTGTAGGCGAAGAAATACCGGCTGAGTTGTCACACGTTGAATAGGTTTATAGACATCAGTCTTGTGAAAAAATTTGAACTTTTGCCTTCAATATTTCTACAGGCAATTTTAGAAGTGTCTTCACATAGATTACAAAACCGTTTAGATTATTGTATTCACTTCAAGCCTTCCCTATTGTTCTTGACGATGATGCGGGAACTATTTCTAATTAGTGTTTATAGCTTAGTAAAAGAACATATTGTGCAAACGATGAAAAAAGCATAAATGTAAGATATTAAATGCAATTTTCTCTAGCAATTAATGGTAAATTATCTACAGATCAAGGAAAAGGTGCATGCTAACTGATAATTTAAAGTTCTTGGGGCCAGTTGTTTTCTTCTTTTCTTACGTCGCCCCAATGGCCGCGAATACACTTGTGATAACGCCTATCGGGGGTGTCTGTTTGTGCGGGATCCTGTCTAGGTGGGCTTTACTGGTGACCGTGTCGACTTTGTGGTGTCACCGCGGACCGTGGTGACATCACAGTCCCCCCGTATCCCTGGGCGCGCAGCCCCCTCCTGTGTCCCACGCCACTACTCCCTCACGTCCATGTCTGACGTCCCCCGTTTTGGTGGCTTACCGAAAATTCCTGAGCCTTAGACCCCGCACCCGCGCCCGCGCCGGAACTCCTATTTTATTCGGTAGACGTATTTGACGGTATTTGCGGCCTACCCCGTCTGGACCTTGCCGGCTTCCTGCGGAGTATTGTGCGCAAGTGCTATATGTGGAACCCTTGCGGTTTTCCCCTGGCGTAATGCGGCATAACTCATGTCTACTTATGGCCCGTCCCCGTGATTGATGGGCGTTAGAGGGAAGCGGCGACAAAAAAGGAGGGGAGTGGGGGACTGGGGCCGAGGTGGCCGGGCGGACGGAGGGAGGGGCGGACCCCCATGGAGGCATCAGACCGAACCAGGGTCGACGGTGGGTCTCCTCAGTCAGGTACTCGACAGTCGGCTGGCGGCCGGGATGTAATGGCCGCCGACCGGATTGTTTTTGTTTGGCCGGCCGTTAGTGCCACTATCTGGCACGGTATCGTGATTTACACAAGATGATGAAACTAGACGGTAGTCGAGACGCGCAGGAGGCAGGTGCATTGTCATTCATGGCAGCTGCTAGCTAAACTGCCAGTCATTAGTCGGTGGAGAGAAAGTCGCAAACGGGTGGTAAACAACCGGGGCTATATCTGGCAGACCGTTCTTTGTTTTAACGTGTAGATGTGCTACCAACTTGTGTAATCCGATCTCCGGAACTGACGAAGAAAGTGGCACACACACTGAAAGATACGTGATTATCTTCATCAATGCTTCCGTGCGTACTTGCATGTAAAGAGCTGAAATTCAGTAAACAAAACAAATGTTGAAATTAAGCAAACCATCTTTACCCGAGTCACTGTTAGTCAATTGTCAATATTTTCCGTCAGCGGCGACGCAGTGGCCACAGAGCCTGCTATACACTTAAACTTTACCGTCTTCGACCGGCAAACATAACGATCGTAGCTTTCTAAACTTTGTAAATAGCCAGCATTCGGAGTTTGGATGTGGACCGTGTTCGAGCTACAAGTTACATTGCTACATGAACGTTAACCATACACCGACACTACGGGTATGGTTGACAATGGCACCATGCAGTTGTTGAATCGATAAAGCTGCTCAAAAGCACGCAATTGATCAGCGTTGGATTCTTTTGTCTTGCTGGGGTTCGCTCCTGCAAGTCATAGAATTTACGAGTTGCTAGCCTTTGTTTATGTTCACGTTTCATTACACTATATTGTTCTCCTCCTTTCACTGCAACGAGCACCGACGCCCACCATGCTCGAATCATTGATCCGGTCTGTAACACCCGCAGTATATCCCGATACGTTTTCACCGCGGCACAAAAACATTCCATTGGTATGCTGTGTCGCTTCTGCTCCGATTGACGGCGTCACAACAGGCGGGTGTGCTCAGCATTCGCACCCGGTGGCCGCTCGGCATTGACGGCCTGTCCCGCCTGCCGCCCGGACGACTTTGTCGCTGATTACGGAGGAAAGGGGAGGGGGAGGGGGTACGGGAGCAGCCAGACCTACGGGAGCAACCTTTCTGGGACTCAAGATGGACGGCGGCCTCACCTTCAGTGAGCACATCAAGCAACTGAAGAAGTTGATGGCCAGACGCAGAAACTGCCTAGCCGCCCTCGCCGGACGCAGCTACGGCTGCAGCCGCCGCACGCTCCGAGCAGCCTATATAGGATATATTAGGCCTCTGGCGGACTACGGCTCGGCAGTCTACATGACACATGCCGCCCCGGCCTCTAGACAAGCCCTGGAAGCGGAGCAAAACGCATGCGCCCGTATCATCACGGGCTGCATCCGCCCGACCAGACGAGACGCACTGCTCGCCGAGGCACAGCTGGAACCCCTCACGGTACGAGCCAAGAAACTCTCCTCGAACGAAGTCCAGAGACTGAAGAGGCTCCCTCCCGACGACCCGGCAAAGGAGGTGTTTGATCGGGACGTCCCACCGAGACTTAAGTACAGAGCCCATGAAGCCTGGATTCGAGAGGTACAGCAAGCCGGCACAAACTCCGGCCCTCCCCTGCCGTGCGATGAGGACGTCGTGCTGGATGCAAAACCCTGCGTGCGGCGAGTCGCTGCCTGGATGGCGAGCGAGGCGGGCATAGCGGAGCTCCCAGCGGAGCCGCTGGCCCTGACACCGCCTGTCCTTCTACCGGACTCCACAAGTCTGACTACATCGACCTCTCTGACGGTGCCCACCTCGCGCACAGACCCACCGGAAGCGAGAAGAGCTGCAGCGGAGAAGACGCTGGCGTCTCTCCCGCAGCCCGACGTGTCCATCTGGACCGACGGTTCGGCTGGGGGCGGCACGCACGACGGCGGAGGGGGAAGCCCTGCTGATCTTCCACCAGGAGTCCCGCACCGTTCAGCTAACGGTAGCGGCCAGGAAGGTATGCAGCAGCACCCGGGCTGAACTCGTGGCCATCCGCGAGGCGCTGGCCGAGGCCGCGGGCGATCTGCCTGACCGGCCGAGTATGCTCCTCCTCTGCTGCGACTCGCGCGCTGCCATCCAGTCGCTACAAGACACGGCGGACTCCCAGTCGGCTCTGGTAGCGGAGATCAGGGACCTGCTAGACACCATCACTCGTTCAGGCCACAGGCTCCACTTGCAGTGGGTGCCCGGCCACGCGGGCCTGCCGGAGAACGAGGAGGCGGACCGTCTGGCAGCGATCGGGAGCTCGCGCAGACAGGACCAGATCCCTGTGGACCTGTGGTCGGCGAGAGCCGTGGTGGCCCGCCGGGCGCGGGCGATGTGTGATGCGCGCGCCAGACGCAGCCACCCGCACCCCGACCCGACGCCCGGGCACGACGGACTGGACCGCCGAGCGTCGGTGACCGTGGCGCAGCTCCGGGTGGGATGTTCGCCCCTGACAGGAGACACCCGGCACCGACTCGGACTGGCCGAGTCCGACGCGTGCGTCGACTGCGGCGAGCCGGACTCGGTCCCGCACCTGCTGATGGACTGCCCCGCACACCAGGGGCCTCGGACCCGCCGGTGGGGCCCCCTGCCGACGCTGGGGGAGATATTCTCCACCGAAGCTGACCTCATCGTAGACTTCCTGGTGGAGACGGGCCGGGCCCCGCGGGACCCGGCCTAAGCTGGCAAGGAAGGAAGGAAGGAAGGAAGCAGCCAGAAGCTAGGTAGGAACTAGGAAATTAGGGACGGTGGATGGTCTGTGGATGTGGCAGAGAATCGTTGGCATATTAGGGAATCGCCATGGCTCGTGAGAAATTATGATTGTGCTTTTAACTAGCTAGAATCCTGAAGGGCATTCAGCTGGAATCACGATTCGACATTTGATGCATGCTCTCCTAGATATTAGTACGTTTCGGTGGTAGGTATTTGATTCTGGGAAGTTCTCGAAGAGCGGTCACTATCGTGTCTGAAGGTAAAACCAGCCCGCCTACCAGCGACCACAGGGCACCAGCCAGCCTCCGTACCTCGGCTGCCTGCCACCGTTAGTGTCTCAGGCTGGCACGTTTTGCTGCGTCACTTCTGGAATCGTTCTATGGTTGGAATGACGGGACGCGGTAATCGTGGTCGTACAGATTCGCATCACTGCGCCTCTAGAACGTTAATGTCGCTCGATGAAATGCCACAAAAGGAGATTAAATGAACCAGTGAACTGAATGCGATGGAACTGTGCTTAAACCGATAAGTCAATATGCAAGTCATATTTGCCTCATCTTCTGTTGAGAAGGGTCGTGATAATTCGTAGAGCTCGCTCGCGGCAATTTAAGGCCGCCCCACACTGGAACTCGCATGCGGGTTGCGAGTTTTTGAGTTTTCGGGTTTCTTCAAAATTAAATAATATAATCTATGCTGAGTGACCCATACTACCATGTAACAAGCGAGTCTACATGTTTTTAGCTTGCAAGCCACCTTGCATCGCATCCCAAAAGTTGATTTTGGGTCAACTTTCGATTTTCCTCGCTGCGAGGTCTGCGAGTTCTGCGAGGTTTGCGGGTTTTTCGTTGGAGGCGAATTTTGGTTCGTTGCGCTGGTATTGCGACTATATGTTAGTTTCTGAAGGTGAACCGGCTTCACTGCATTCATTAAATTACCACAAGGGAGCGGTCTAATCACTCTATGAATTAGTGTTATGCCCGCAAACTTAAAACCCGCAAACTCGCAACCCGCATGCGAGTTCCAGTGTGGGGCGGCCTTAAGCTCGTTATATTTGTTTTCCAAACTTGCCCATCATATCCGTACGCCCTTCTTCCTGTTGCCAAATCACCATCATGTTGACTTTTTACCTTGTTATTTTCCTAAATGCTGTCCGAATCGCATTTTACCTATGGTGCGACATATTTACTCCGCGGATCATGTCATCTAAGTCCGCGCGTCCCCCGCCGTCGGCCCTCGTGGTCTGACCTCTCCGTCTCCGTCGCCAGGCCGCCGAACGTCTGCAGATCAAGGGTCTGGTCAAATCGGACGCGGACGAGGAGCTCTCCGATGACGCCGAGGACCGGGACTCTGCCGAGCGGCGCCGCCCGGAGCGGCCGGAGCCGGAGCCGGAGGAGCCGGACGGCTCCGAGTCGGGCCCGGAGAGCCCGGAGCCGGCGCCGGAGCCGGAGCGGCGGCGCTCGGTGCTGGACACGCCGCCACCGCCGCTGCAGCCGCTGTCGGCCGGCCCGCAGCCGCCGCCGCTGCCGCATCCGATGGGAGGACCGCTGGCCAGCGTCGGACCGCAGGTGAGCCGGGAGGGACTGGTCGAACGTTTGTGGATCTTTCGTCTGGGATAAACTAGTGTGGGTTGAGGGCCTGACCGGGAGAACGATCGAATGGTTGGCAGTTCGGATCGTGTGGGGTCCGAGGAGCAGTTATGATTTGGAAAGTTGAAAGGTGGATGGTTAGTAGCACTTCCATTACCCTTGAGGTACTGAAAATTGGTATTTTGCACTCGTTTAGATTATACCTACGGCACTTTACACGCGGAACAGTCTGCGTTGACAGGGCCAGTTTTGGAGGAATGTTGTTGCAGGTCTTCGAAACTGTACAACACCCACCCAATCCCGAGTCTTATGTTGGTCCGTGGGCCGGACGGTCTAAGTGAGAGGAGTAGGCCGGTCCGTGTTACGGTCTGACTGAGAGCGATAGGCCGTCAGGTGGACGGCGGGATCTCCTAATGGACACACGGCGCCTGACACTGCTCGACCATCTCGCCGCCTTTTTGCGTGATTAGCGGTCATCGCGGAAATTGGTTTCATTTGTCTCGTTTTTTGCGAGGTGGTTGCGAGGTTTCACCGTCACGTCTTAGATTGTTACGTATCTCGCCACCACCTGCTCTGGATATCTGGCTGATTGTCTAAAGTTGTATTATGTTTTGGTGGGAGACTCCGTTTTTTTTTTCGTTCTTTGGTCGTAAAGACGGGTCTGACCTAGATTCTATTCAGGTTATCCAACTGGTTGAATTTTGGTGTGTTTTCACCTCGTCATTTATTGTCACATCGTCAGAGTTCATCGCCCCAATATCAGTCCAGAGTTTCATCGTTCGCCGCCTGGAGCTCTGTGGGGTTTTCCAGCCACCACGATATACGAGTACGGAGCATTAGGCTCGGTAATGCTGAGTTGTTCTCATTTTGGCTCATCGCTATCGAACGTTGTGTTTCGGCCGTTTTGACTTTGCAAAGTTTTTAATAGCCTAGGCCTTCCCGTCGTTCTGCAGATAAGTTACAAGAAATCTTATTTATATATTTGTCCAATATTTATGCGACGTTTTGGCGATGTGCCGAAGCAGTTCTTAACAACGGTCACCAATACTGCTATCGGAGTCCATCTTTCACACTCATTCAGTCTTGAACCTCGCCCTGTTGCGACCGATTCTGGGTAAGTTCGCAACCGTTGCATACACCTGCCTCAACCTATTCGTACCCATGACGTCAACCATCCAGCCTAAGCCCAGACTGGCTTGAGCGCCGACTACCACCGAACCTGTGAAGTGCGTGATCCGGTGGCCGCTTCACTGCCTCGCTCCCTCCCTGCCGGCTCCCACACAGCGCGTGAAGTACGTGAGTGCGCGGGCGTCGGCCGGTGTGCGATCGCTCTGTACCTGTCTGTCGGGCCGAACTGCCGAGTCATGCCCAGCCGCCAGTCATTGAATAGGCTGCCCGGGAGGCACTGACCGCCGCCCGGCGGCCTGGGTGCTGATGGAACGGCATTACAGATCTAACGGTCCGAGCGGCGCGATGAAGGAATGGGCAGCGGCGCGCATAGTGTGAGGGAATCGGACCGGCGGCACGTTAAGTGCGAAATGTTGGACGGAGAGCTTGGGAGTTTCGACTTTTGATGTAGAAGTAGCCGAGTACTTGTGGTTAACGGGTCTATGTTTTGCATAATAAATGGCATTGTAGACATTGATGTGAAATTACGGGCTTTCCGTTATGTCTATGATAGTTGACCAACCCCGTTTCCGATTCACAGCGTTGCACATGTCCCACCGCACCTGTCGTATGCTGACGCTCCGTGTCTTTCCGTTCCAGGCACTGCTGGCCGAGTTTGGTCGGGAGCCGCCGGTGGCCGCCTCCCCGGACAGCTGTGGGGACGGCCCGCCGCCGCCGCCGCCCCCGCCCGTGGTCACTCTGACCCCTCAGCGCGGGGAGGGTACCGACCAGGCCGGGGGCGCCGCCGGCCGGCCGCCGCCGCCGCTGCTGCCCTACACGTCACCCCAGAACGGACACGGACACTTCTTCATGCCGGGAATGGGTGGAGACACGCCCACATCGCTCGGTAAGTAACGACGGAATCGGGCTGGGGTATTCGAGCAGAATGACTCGAGGTAGTCGCGCTTAAAAGATGGTCCCCCTAGCTCTGGCGCTGGGACAATTTGGAGGGAGTTGGGCGTGGTGTGATTTTGTGTGAGCTGAGTCTACGATAAGGTATGCAGCATCCCGGTGATTTACAGTCAAAGCCCAAGCTATGTGGGTGGATTTCATCGTCAGGTGTGCTGATTGTTCTAGATCGGGGCTCTAACGGCGAGTAGCGACTGTTTCTGTTTGCCAGTAATCCTAGCCGGTCCGCGGGCAGCTCCAGTCGCAGCACGGCCTGTACTATCCAGTCGGACCGCTCTGTTTGTGATGAGGTGCCCTCAGTATAGCTGAGTCACTGCCCGAATACCTGGCCACCACCACCACCGCTACTGCCGGTAACATCGGTGCCCGTGCTGTTGATCTGAGCCGGCGGGCGGACGTCGGGAAAAACTCCCACGAGAGAGCCGCCCGGCCCTGCCCGAGCGTCGGCGGCCGGCGCGGCTCGGGTCCACGACCTCCCGAAGTGGCCCACCATTTATCCGGCGGACTGCCGCCGCGGTGACGGCGCCGTTTTTGCCCCTGTTTACGCCTCGGGCCGCTCAGCGGGTGGTAGACAGCAGCGCCATACGGCGGGAGTTAATCGAACTAACACTTGTGTTTCGCCCGCTAGGTGTCTCTAAGCGGAACACGCCCGACTCGCCGCACGTGCTGGCGGCGCTGCAGCAGATCTCCGCCGGTCTGATCACCGTGGCCGAGGCTTCCATCCAGTATGACATCCCCATACCGACGCTGTATGTCAACATGCGCCGACAGGGTGTCAAGGCGCGCGGACGCGTCGGCATGGCAGGTATGTGAGAGCCTTGCCTTGATGATTTGATAAGATGAGTGAAAACGGAAGGGGGGATTAGAACGTCCCGGAATTATGATAGAGTTGCTCTGTATGGCCTGGTAACGAAAAGCAAGGGCATTATCAGACTGCTAGTGATATTCTCTTGCCTGGCAATATACCGTTCAACGCGTCGTTACGATTACGATAACAAGTTCCAGCATACGATCTATACAGGCACGAATTATTTACCTGCCTGTCACGGTGTGCATACCATCTATATTCCCCCATGTTCCCAGCAGCGGTAGCCCTTACCGCACACTGTATGTTATGCCGCTCCCTGCACCCTCACCGCTCACACCTGCCTACTTATCTGTAACTCTGCAGTTATAGCGTATGTGTTCTAGATTTTAGTGTTCCTTTGCCGTTGTCCGCAGGCAAGAGGAAGCCGCGCGGTGTGATGAGTGCCGAGATGCGGGACGCCCTGGAGGAGATACGCGCCGGAACTATCACCGCCTCCAAGGTCAGTGCACGAGTCTCCATGACAGTAGCCTGTGGGCCCTGTCCGTCTCAGTAGTCAGTTCAGCCAGTCAGCTGCCTATGTAGAAGAGGTCGGGGGCTAGCGCTGGTGTAGTCAGGTCTCTCTCTCTCTCTCTCTCTCTCTCTCTCTCTCTCTCTCTCTCTCTCTCTCTCTCTCTCTCTCTCTCTCTCTCTCTCTCTCTCTCTCTCTCTCTCTCTCTCTCTCTTTCTCTCTCTCTCTCTCTCTCTCTCTCTCTCTCTCTCTCTCTCTCTCTCTCTCTCTCTCTCTCTCTCTCTCTCTTTCTCTCTTTCTCGCTCTCGCTTGCTTGCGCACGTCGTGCGCTCACTCATTTACTTATATTCAACCCCTCAAGCACTCAACTGACCTCACTAACTAAATGTAGCTATGTAGTCGGCGCGCCCTAAAGCCCCAATAAACATCAACTACTTGGCGAACAGTAAGCATTCAATACGTGACAGTTCCAACTTTTCAGATAAGGCATTTTGTTTTGTTAAATGTAAGGGTATTTTCTGGATATGTGCAAATAATCGCATTTCTTTTAGTTCATTACTAGCGTCTGAATATATCTTTCGACTTTCTCGCTAGGCCTCTCGGAAATACAACATCACCCTACCACGCCTGGTCTCGTGGATGCGCAAGACGGGCGTTAAGAGCGCCTACGCCAAGGGCCCGATGGCGATGCAGGCGGCCTCGGTCGCCCCGCCGGCCGTCCCCGTGCCCATACCGTCGCCGGTGCCGGAGATGCGCCTGGCGTAGTGCTGCCACCTGACGGAGCGACCGTGCTGCCACCTGGCCGGCCGGCGCTGCCGAGCGACAGCAGCATATCCGGGCTCCCAGAGAGCCCGCCCTCTCCCGTGACGTGTCATCAGCCGCGGCGCGGCGCCTCGCGCGCGAGCTGGCGCGCACCCCGCGCCAACAGCCATCGCCTTGCATGGACCACGTTAGACGCTGATTGTAGTGTTCTAAACACAGTGTATATATATACAAGACGGCGTTCGAAATGCCTTCAGGTAGCTTAACTCCGGTTTTGCCAAAGACAAGAGATTTTCCTGTCGTAGCTAGTCAGCGATGCGTTTCCTTACAGTATTGTCGTCGAGTCTTTTTGTTTTTGTAAGACAGCTAGGTTTTGCAGCTAAGTATTCTCAGCAGCTTTACGTTTCTTTTGTTTTTATTTACATATGCATGCTGTATATTGTAGCTGAGTGTTTTTTTTTTTTCTGCATGATCTCCTACGTTTGTACCAAATAGCAGGCCAGAACGTTTACAGTATATGTTTTCGTTCGTTGCGTAACTGTTTGACTTGGGCGATGTAGCCCAGATATTTCGTTTTCTGTGCCAGTAGAATTGGATCTGTGTTCAACTCTCGGTTCTTGAGAGTGAACTGTTGCCTTTGTGATTGTGAATACTCGCGTTTTGTATTAATATTCCTAGATTGACTGGGTATCACCCTTCCTGATCATTGTGTAGAGGAGTAGAACTCGCTACATGTCGTGCAGATATTTGAATTCACGCCACGGAGGCATTCAGTGGTATTTTTATAGTGACAAGTTTCTTCCAGTGGCCGTCCTCTAAGGACACTGATCAGTTGTTTTGGACGGCATGAGTTCGAGTATTTGTCCGTGTGTGTAGCGGAGGTGTCGCGCTGTCATCACTCGCCTTCGGTCTCGCTGTTCTTTGTACCGTGCCGTCTTTCACCTTTGCGATTTCGGCCGCTGGCGGCTCTCCCTGTTGGGGCATTGCGGACGTGTGCGCGCGCTCGCGCCCCGTCCGCCCGACCACCTCCCGCGTGCGGCGTCTTCCCTGCGCGGGCCGACCGGCCAGCTCCGGCTGGCGGCCCGCTCATATGCATCTCGCGCGCCTGAAATCGATTTTCGGCTGCGGCGGCGCGGAGTGAGACCTTTGCAGGCGTGTGTTTTGTAGTGGCGCTCGTTTTGTATTTATCTTTACATCGGCGGAGAGCAATAGTGGTACGCAGCGGCCAGTGATTTATCTGTACCCCGAATGGGTGTCTGTCTCGCGTGGTGAGGTGTCTCGGTGTTCGGGGTACCCGCTGTCTCAGTATTAGCGAACATCAGCTCTCGGGGTGGGAGCGAACATCAGCCGCCGTCTGGAAGGGACGGGGCTGAGCCTCTGTTTGAGGAGACGGGACGGAGCCGCTGTCTCTTGGAACGGAGGTGGAGCGGCCTATACCTCCGGTCTGTACCTACCGACTGTACCGCAGCGGCTGGTACCTCTCCTTCTGTGACCGGTCCCCGCCCTGCTGAGGTCACTGTGAACGACCGCCGCCACTGTACCAGTACTCGCATCTGTCTAAATACTCCCCCTTCTCGCCCAGACACTCAATAAAGAACAAATTTTCTTTACACGTGCGTTTTTATCGGTCGATCAGTTTGTTTGGTGTAAAACAGTTGCAAACGACTCGAGTGCTAGTCTAAGGATTTGAGGTGTCTTCGTGCTGTCGCCACTCGGCGAAGGTTTTTTGTCTTTAGGTAAGCTTCAATTTACACTGACAGTCAGCCCTGAGCTACACCGTGGCTCTCCATGAATAGGCGTCTGCGTGTCCGTTGCACAGCGCGTCTATCGGCGCTGACCGGCGACTGCCGACCGGTCGGAGATAGCCCGGCCGGTCCGGAAACTGTGCTCCTTCCGCCTGGAACTGCGAACAACGGACCTCTCCGTCAGTGGGTGGTGGCACGTGTTGGGGGTCGCTCGTTACAGCCATGTCTCGTCTTGGTGTCAGTGTCACGTGTTTGTCATGTGTTCTCCATGTGGTGGTGTTCAGCATTCTGCTAGCAGCGGCGGTGAGTCTGCACCCTCCCGAGTACCCGACAGGTCAGGGAACTCTCACAGCCGGGCCAACCACCGCGCCACCTCAGGCCGCCTGTCGTCTGCCCCGGGACCGCGGCCGTCGCTGTTCGGCCGGTCCCACACTCCGCTGGTACCTGGACGAAGAGCAGGCCGACTGTGTGTCGTTCTGGTACTCCGGATGCGGAGGAAACTCCAACAACTTCCCCACGGAGCGCGCGTGCAGGGAGGTGTGTGTGGAACCGGACGGCCCAGCGGTCTGCCTCCTCCCGGCCGGCCGCGGGCCGTGCACCGACAGCCAGCTCCTGTGGACCTTCGACGCCGAGACGGGGCAGTGTGTGACGTTCGTCTACGGCGGCTGCTACGGCACGGCTAACCGCTTCTTCACGCGGCGTCAGTGCGAGCGGTCGTGTCTGACAGACCACGACTCAGCTGATGGGGACAGCGCGGTGGACCCCGACTGTCTACAGCAGGCCGGAGTGAGCGGTCAGTGCGGTGCCGAGCTCGTGAGGTACACCTACCTGGCTGCCGCCGATGTGTGCACGCCGTTCCTCTACGGTGGCTGTGCTGGTAACGGGAACAACTTTGACACACTGGAGGATTGCAGAGAGAGATGCGAGACCCTCACCGACGACCAATCGAATACCAAAGAGAACTCTACTGAGACTACTATCAGCCATGAAGTAACTCCAGCCAGCGTCAATGTGGCTGCGGCGCCCCCGGGAGGCGCGGACATCTGCTTCCTTCCCCGAGACTCCGGCTCTTGTCGCTCGTACGCTCCCATGTTTTACTACGACGTCCGCACGGCGAGCTGTCATCAGTTTATCTACCGAGGCTGCGGCGGCAACGCTAATCGATTCCACACGAACGCGGAGTGTCGGCAGAGATGTGTGGATACAGGTGATGGTACGGTGAGCGGCTCGGAAAGCAGTGGCATGGAGAGCGTCGATAAGCAAGTCATAATTGGACAAGCTCAGATGAACATCACAGGAGGCGAATCAAGCACTGTCAGCAGCCAGGTGCAGGACGGCGGCGTGGAGAACGAGACTAACGAAACGAAACGAAACGAGACTTCAAGTGTTCCACCAACAACGAATCCCTCTACTACACCTGCTTTGGTTTCAGGAAAGGGGAACCTAACCTCCCCAGCCATCTCAAGAGCGCCCCATCACCGTCGAAGCCGGCCGCTGCCCCTCCACAGACCCCCGGGTCGTCGGCGGCGTCCCCGCGGCCGGCGCGCCTGCCTGCTGCGTCCCCGACCCGGCCCCTGTCACCACTACCTACCTCAGTTTTACTACTACAACGCCGACCTGGCCGCCTGCTTCGCCTTCATCTACGGCGGATGTGGAGGCAACAGGAACCGGTTCGTCACCAAAGAGGCGTGTGAGAGCCACTGCCGGGGTGTGCGGAGGCTGGGGTCGCACGGAGAAAGAGTGCTCGATGGTGGAGGGACGCGGGGAGAGAGGGACCGGGGCGGAACTCGGAGACCATTGCCGGACAGGGGAGGTGGTAGAGGGACGCGGGAAGAGACAGACGATCCTGGGAGGTCAGTAGCAGACAGCGGAGGAACGCAGGGAACGAGGTACGGACCTTGGAGACCAGTGCCGGACAGGGGAGGAATTCCTCTTCGTGAAGGGACCCGGGAAGAGAAAGACGATCTTCGGAGACCAGTAGCAGACAGAGGAGGGACGCGTGGAGAGACGGATGGACGTCGGAGACCAGTGCCAGCCGAGGGAGGAGCGTGGGCTAAGAGAAACGGCCCGGCGACTGCTGCACCAGTGACGTGATGCGAAACCTGGAGTATGACCTGGATGAGATGTGAAAGGACCGGTCTGAAGGGGGATGAGTGGAAAGTGCCTGCTGTCAGAAAGAAAGCCTTAGAACAGTGCGCTAGAGTGCTGAAGCGGTAACTATAATAAGATGCGAATTCAAACTCCTCTGTGGGTGATTGATGTAGTCATGGCCTGAGAACATTCGTGACCTCTAACCCGTTCAAAAGTGTATCAAACCCCTTGTTAGAGAAACACATTCGTTTCGGGATGTGTGCCAAATCGCGATCAGGAGGTTGAAGTGCACGTGGGCTGTCCGTTTCATACTCCACAGTGACGACACGTGTTTTGCATACGGCCGTCGGGTCAGCGGAGACTGCTGGGCTGCCGTAGTTGCATATCGGTCTGTCAGGGAAAGTGTATCGGTAAGAGGAGTGTGTGGTCTGTCCGGGACCATGTTGGTTGGATTATGTTGGTTGAACGGCCGTAATGGTGTGCTGTATTATTTGTACTTCATGTTTAGTTCACGGAGAATGGCAAACTATCTTCTTCTGCGTGCTTTTAGTTTTGCCTTATGTCCACATGGAGTGAGGTAGAAGTGAGCGGCGAGTAAGCGGCATACGTGCAACCGTTTGAAGGTGCATGTCCTGTATCATACGCAATTTCGCGCAAAGCTCCATCAAAATTTCCACCAAATTACAGAGTGCACGTAAGGGTTATTGAGAAAGGCGAGTGACTGAACGCCGAACAGTTTGGCGCCGCAATGATTACCGGCAGAATTACGGCGTGTCCGTGTGTTGGCGTCGGTGCGCGCGCAACAGTCGTGTCGGGGGCGGCGGCGGAGATCTGACACCGTCATCGTGTTTGTCATGGCGCGGCAGTCAGCAGTGACGGTTGTGGCGCACTCGGCGCCGCCGCCGGCCTGTTGCAACGCGCTGGCACGAGCCGAGCCTAGTGCGCCGAGGCCATCTCACCAGGCAGGGAGAAACGCCACTCGATATAGGAGGGCGCGCCCGCCGCCCACGGACCCGGCCAGCGGAGAGCGTCCGGTCTCGGCCGGAGCTAAATGTAGTCGGTCACCTCCCCTACCAGAGCCGAAATCCGGGGACACAGCCCAGTTTCACAACTGGGACACATTGGGTTCGGCGCGTCAGTCCGTCGTGAACCGCGCGTGAGGCAATGACGCCTCTGCCGCCGCCCGTGCCTCCCGCCGCCGGAGAGCACCGTGACGTAACTGATGACGTCACCGCTGACCTGCTCGTGCCGGGCACCGATCGCCCCAGGCAGTCAGGTGCCCCTCAAGGCAGGGTTATGGCCGGATTCAACCCGGTCTCAGTCCTCATCTCTGAGGTCTCGTATGACGGGTCATGTATTGATCTACATGACGGGTCAGATGTATTGCTTGCGTTGGCGCCGATCTCGAGTCGGGCATCCGTTTTGTTGACAATTTCAGTTCGAGTCGGAGTCGCAGCGCAGTCGGAGGGACGCTATACCACGACTCCGAAACCTCTGGTCACTTCTGCACCGGTGTGATTCTCAAAACGTATGCATCCGATAACTTTCCATATCAATTTTGATTTTGGCTCAAGAGTGCGACTCTTGTCTCTTTTTGACGGTGAAGCCGTTCAGAATGTAAAGACGATAGTCGCCTGGTAACAATCCCAAAGCAATTTTTACATTTTGATGTACCTACTTTTTGAATTTGTACTTCCGTTTGTAAAAAAGTTAACACCTCTCCCCTTCGGACGTAGCCAAGTGATCGTGTGTTTTTAGTTATCGCGACTCGTTAACACCTGTCCGAAGTCATTGATAATTTGGCATGGATAGCACGCCGCTGGGGATCGTGGCAGGCCAACGGATAGGTACACTTTACGAGTATAAGAAGGCACTAAGACATTATTACATATGTAAGTTACTTCAGGCTCGCATGTCAATCGGGACTATGCGCGATACGCATTATACAATCAATCTTTTAACCCTCGCCGGCCGAGGGGGGGGCGGGTGCCGCCCCCCCCCCATAGGGTTTTTTCGCGATAGCTCCGAACACGCTGGCGATAGAGAGCTGAAACTTGGCATACCTGACCTTTGATCCAAGCCGCATCTTTTGACACCAACCGCATTTTTGGGTCAGGTCAGGTCACTGACCTATGACGTCATAAGTGAACCTCTGCACGGTCTTCAGATGTCGCAACTTCGCAACGCTCTCACTGCCAGAGGAGATGTCACAGGGAAATGAAACTTGCAGGATCTAGTATCCATTATGAGTCCCACAACTTGTATATCTCGGATTTTTCTTAAAGGTCATATGAGGTCAGGTCATTTTCGTGACCTCACCATTATGAGTCAATGGGGAAAAATGAAAACTGCTATTCTGGCGCCGGGAGCGATCTCCAACTATCTCAAGCACACAGAATCGTGATTTTATGCACTCCTTGCAAGGTTAGATGCGTCACTTTTTCAATGTTGACCTTGCGTGACGTCATTTATGACGTCATCAAGGTCATATTAGTTTTTCGTCAATAACTCTTGATCAAATTGAGCTAGCGAGTCGGGAAAGCCACCAATGGACTCAGGAAGACCTGCCGAATCGAATGATATGCGACATGACCTCTTTCGACCAACTTCGTGACCTGGGGGTGCTGACCTGACCTTGACCTGAGGTCAACACCCCAAGTTGACCTGACCCGGACAAAAAGTATATCATTCGACGCGCCTGAGCGAGACGAACACGATGCTGCCAAAATCGGCGCTCTGCGGCCGTTTTTTGCGAAGTTATTCACCAAAAACTGAACCGTACCTTGGGGCACTTGACCTGACCTCAGAGGTCACCGGTTGACCTAGGACCTTAAAATCGGGTACCAATCTCTGCGTCTCGTAACGGCGCACACGCTCGTTTTTTCCGCGACGCGCTAGCTCCACCAGGGGCGAAACGGCGAGGGGAGGGGTCGTACCCGCCCCCCCCCCCTCGGCCGGCGCGTATGTAGAAAACCAATAGGTCCGGCGAGGGTTAATGAGTGAATATTGGACGGGAGTGATGCTGCGCTGATTTTTGGATTATCTATGACGCAAGTAAATAGACGGTCGTCAATGGTGCGACCCGGGCCGCTGACGCTGTAAAGATCAATTTGAGTCACTGCTCGCTGACTATTGCGGGATGACCTGTGCGCTGAAGTAATGTCTCAAAGCGGGTGGTGACGTCAGCTACCCAATGAGTCGTGACTCCGAAAACAGGGGACACAGTAGCTTGCTTCAGTGATTTGACACGGGATGAAGAAACTGCCTTCGTCGGAGTCTATAGAAGTAGGTCGTGGGAGCCCCATTTCAAAATTGCGAATGTCAGGTACCTAGCTAATAAAAAGTGATGCTGTTTGCTGTATAGAATATAAGGAAATGTTCTTGTAGATGCTAAATGTTCAGTTGCTAATGCCTAAATCTCTTAAGTTTGGTCTTTAGACGTCCAGTTTCCGCTCAATCACCACAGCCACAGAAATTAGGGTGCGGTGTTCTGCTCACCTTACAGCACTTCACCTTTAGAATATCGGAAGGTCCCTAGAATGCAGGCTTCTGGCAGCCGTCTGCACTCTGAAGTGTGTCGTGTCTTCTCAGTTACCTATACACTATACAGTGGTGTGTATTTACTATTTATTCGGCATGCTATCCCGTTTCACGTTAGGCGGCACGGGCGGACATCGATAGCAGCGCCTCTATCGGTCACTAGGGAAAGCTGGGCTGTAGGCGACGAAATACCGGCTGAGTTGTCACACGTTGAATAGGTTTATAGACATCAGTCTTGTGAAAAAGTTGAACTTTTGCCTTCAATATTTCTACAGGCAATTTTATAAGTGTCTTCACAAAGATTACAAAACCGTTTAGATCATTGTATTAACTTCAAGCCTCCCCTATTGTTCTTGACGATGATGCGGGAACTATTTCTAATTAGTGTTTCTAGCTTAGTAAAAGAACATATTGTGCAAACGATGAAAAAAGCATAAATGGAAGATTTTAAATGCAATTTTCTCGAACAATTAATGGTAAATTCTTTACACATCAAGGAAAAGGTGCATGCTAACTGATAATTTAAAGTTCTTGGGGCCAGTTGTTTTCTTCTTTTCTTACGTCGCCCCAATGGCCGCGAATACACTTGTGATAACGCCTATCGACTCTTTTAGATGATGCTCCACTTTGCAAGCGCTTGCCAACGTTGTTTGTTTCCGTATGATAGGCTCAGCATCAACAATGACGCATGCAAACTGCAATCTGCAGCGACGTAGCGCTTCTGCTTCCTGTGCTTTGTATTTGTAACGTGCCGACCTTGCACGCACAACGTATGCAAAGCACGCATTGTCATCGTCATATGCCTTGAATGACGCGCTGGAGAAGCTTCCACGAGGTGTTTTTTAGTCAGCCGTAAACACCAACAGGCCTTCTCGAATGCGTCCTCGTTGAGTGGACGTTTACGATGGATGCCCGAGGGTCTCCTCAGACCGGATACTGGCGACCCTGGCCCGGCTAGCACGGTCCGAACCAACCGGAACATTCTGCGGATTCGGTCCCACCTCCGTCAACGAATTTACGCGCCGGGAACCCCCAAGGTCGCGGCCCAGTGCCGGTGGCGCCGTGACGCCCCGTGACGCGTCACGGCGCCGCCCGCGGCTGGTGAGAGGCGGCGCGCCGACCCTGACCACGGCCGGTTCATTGACTCGGCGGCCGGCTGCCTGGAGTGCGGTACAACAGAGGGCGGGGGTGTACACTGTACAGTGGACCGACGAGCGACGCGACGACGCTGGCAATGGGAGGGTTCGACAGCCGACGGCGGCTGCTTAAACCTAACCGGAGCGCTCGAGCGACCCGAGCTACTTGGTCGGCCTCAGAGCCGAGGGCCATCCGGCGATGGTTGAGCCGATGTAGTATCTTCTGCAATGACAGAATGCATTTGAAGATGAATTACACGTTCTTGACCCCAGGGTTGCGCAGTCTGAGTCTGAGTCGGAGTCGGTCGAGTCGACAGTTCTGCCCGGAGTCGGAGCTGGAGGTGCCCAAATCTTACCGACTCCCTGGTTGCTTGACGATTCTTTGCTTGTTGATCTTTCAAAAACAGATTTTGTCGAAAAAAGGTGGTATTCCTGGTTGAGACGAGCGTTTTGAGCGAAAGAAGCAGAAAACGACGGATTTGCCAGAACCTGCTTTTAATTTAGCATGCTATTTATCAAGCACATTTGCAATGCAAGATCTTGGAACGCACAGAAGATCGTTTCAGACGAAATACAAACATGTCCACTATGTTATAATTATATGAGTTGAGAGAAACGTCCGGAGTCGGAGCTGGAGTCGGAGTCGGAGTCGATTGTCGAAGCCGGAGTCACCCGAAAATCCATCGACTCCGCAGCCCTGCCTGGCCCTATGCACAAGTACCGTTGATCCCTGAGGTCAAGCAAAACATTAGTGGATGCCGCTTTCTTTATTTAATGAGTTTAAACGATAAGCGGTAGGTATAGCCTAGGTAGAGCAATTCACACTTTCAAGTTTGTCCCAGTCTAAAAATATGTAAC